CGATGGTGTTCTAACATTCCTTCTTTCAAAGTGATTGCATCACATTGCTGTTTGGCAGTCCCTTCTCATCCTGAAAGGAACCCGGCTTCCTGGGAGAAATGGCAGATTTCAGGGTTTAAGAAGGAACTGCGCAGGATGAGCCCCTTAGCTCTCACTTACAGGAAGTTAGGGCAGATTCCTGGGATCTTAGGAAGAGAAGCTGGGGAGCAACTTACAGTTTCCCCAGACCAAACCTGGGGTAATCTGAGTATCAGTAAGGATAATAACTGCAATAAACTTAAACATCAGATATGCTTCGAATCCCTAAGTTTATAATAACAAGACACATTTAAAAACTAAAAAACCCAGAGCTGGTCACCAATGGAACAAATCCATTATTTTGAAAACTGAGAAACAAAGGTTGAGGAATTCCTAAGGTAACGTGAGATTCAAGACTCATTCTAGAAACCTATTCATAACCACTGGGAAATATCACAAGTAAAAAAGACTACTCACTGTCATTGAGTAGATTTAAACTCTTTATCAACTCTTTATAGGAAGAGTAGAACTGCCACATAGTTTCCAAGACTATAATAGCAGACAGCCTGCACCTGCTCCATCTCCCCACTCCCCCGCCTGTCGCAGGAGCAGCTGGTGGGGTTATGGACTTTATGGACCACGGACCTTGAGGCTAGCAGCCCAATGCTTAACTCACAGCACCACCAGGTCCCCTCAAAAAAGACATGAAGGGATGAAATAGAACAACAGGGTGTGAAGGGAGGCATCCTTGGTTCAGTAGTAGAATCGTATGTTATGAATCTCCTGGGGATCTTCAGAAAATGTGGATTCTGACTCAGTACATCTGGGATGGAAAGGCAAATTCTCAGTGGAGTTGCACAGAAATGAACCGTTCAAAGGCCCGCTTATGCATACCAAGCAGTCTGAAATAGTTTATTATGCCAGCCTGGCTGATAAACACAAGTGGGATTAACTGAAGGGCAGAGAGATAAATAGTTTAGTGAGCCTCGCCTTTCTTGTCTCTCGCTCTGTGATCATCGGACCAGTGTGCGGCTGCCTTGCTT